TATTGTTTTACTCGTAATAGAGGGCATTGTTCTACCGCTTTACATTCGGTCTGATTCCACTTACCGGCTCTCAGTTAGCGTTGTGTGAATGATATGAAATAATAACAAAAACACAAGTAATCATTTCAGAACGTGTCCGGGAATTATAGTAAAGAGAACACAATCAATGTTTTTTTCATTTTCAAGAAGAACACTGAATAGAAAATATGTGTCTCTTTTTGATAGCTGCAGAGTAACCTGAGCCACATGTAGCGAAGCTATATATCTTGGTAAGCAATGTGTTTATCAGTGAAATATGGCCCCGTTTTGAGCCTAAATATTTCAAATTGTTCTGCTTGAACCATTTCAGAATACATAAATGCTTGAGCAGGGCTAATACATACCACCAAGACAAAAATTCTAGATGTGGAGTGGCTTTCGTTGCTTAAATGCTTCGAAGCGTGTCTGCACTCCTCCTTTATTGCTGCATTATAGCTTGGTGGACATTTTAATGTCGCATTGTATTCATCCAATAAGACGGTGTGAGCTTGCATGTGCACTTCATGTAGCTGATAAGTACAAAGACAATATGAAGCTACCATATCTCCCGTTGTCATCATTGTGTCACCTTTAGTGTCCTTCGATGAGCAACTATAAATCTTGGATGTGAATGGCTCATAGAACAACGCATTACGTGTGGACGGTTACACAGGGGCAGCACACTGTTTCATCTTTTGCCCGGTCTCTCAGCAGTCGTAGAGCACAGCTCCTTCATCATTATCAAGCACCTAGCCCGCCATAATTTTTTTTCTGAATGCTTGCTCCCTTCATCAATTTAGTATGCGCCGTCAGAAAAACTCCAAATTCGCAAGATAGTGTTTCGAAGCACTCATAATTTTGTTCCAAGAAAGAAAATGAAAGAATGTGATGTTTTGTGTGATTTTCAGTCAAAAATATGTTAACAAGTCTGTCTCTAACTACCTAATTATTCTGCCACAAGCCAGTTTTACTTCTTGCATGAAAATAATTGAAAGTTTGGCGTGAATCATTTGCACAGTTTTCTTTCCGGTTGTATTCATACCGAGCGGACAAGAAATAAACTTTTCATGTCGGTCCTGGAATGCAGCACACCGAAGAATCGTCGAACACAGGTAGTGTTTCCAGCAAAGTGGTCTTATGCAGCACTATGAGCGCAATGAAATTAATTGAACAATAGCTCTTCACTCAGAAAGCCTGCAGGAATGCTAAAGCCGAGTTTCAGGCCATTTGAACAAACATGCGGCGTGTGACGCATCTTTGAATTACATGTACACGATCCTGCACACGCTTCATGAAGGGGTTCAACTAGGAATGATTATTTTTCTACCCCTGGTATCATATATGTGAACATAACTGTGCAGGTGCTAAGATCAGGTTATTAGATAATGGTCCACAGCTTCTTTACATCCAAAAGCCAGATGGCAGCACTTATCTTGCGCTCTTGGTTAGTGTTACGAGTCTCTAGAGCTTAGAGAAGCTATGCATCCATCAAGGCACACAGCGCGAGTACTGAGCGGTTGGTCATTCGGTTTCTAGCCTTAGAAATGATTTACAAGTCAGAGAAGCTATTGGAGTGTTTATAAAGGGCAAAATGTTTGCATGTTTGAACAAGAAGAAACTCACCACTACATCTGTTCATGCACTGATAACAGCTTTTGAATTTGTTCGAGTTTCCACCAAACCCGCTGTACAAGAACACTTGACATTGGTCCTGTGTAGCATTATATGACCATGCGAAAATGCCCCCAATCCCTTTTCCTTTTTCGACAGCCAAGCTACAGACTGGTTACTCTGGAACACCACCTGCGCAAAAAAATCGTAGTGTGCAATACGAAATCTTAAGCAACATTATTCTTAGCCCTCGATTTAGCAAGATGCCATGGCATTTTATCTCACTAAAGCGCATAAAACATTAGTCCTCTGTCATTTTTGCGTTATATGCGATTGTTCACAAGTCACTCTTTTTCCTGTCCTGGATGCTTTATGCCATTGGCAGTTATGATGAACGACAACAAAACCAACGTGCAATATTAGTTCGAATGAACTCATCGATGCTTACTTTGTGTAGTGTCGGTTGATATTGGCATGATGCCAATTTGAGAAGAAAAAGTTTTTTTTTTTTGTAAAAACAAGGCATAATATCGACGTACCTATTCTCAAGCATATTTTTGAGTAGCAATTATTTTCACGTTACGCGCACTTGATTACACGCTAAATATCAGTATTGACAAATATGAGACTCAAAAAATTGCATATTGTAATTTGCAGCATTACTACTATTGTTTATTCTTCGACAGAAAACGTGCGATACTCTCCTAATACATCAGTTTGATAACTGCAGATCTGCTTTGCTTTCTTCCTTGAATTTAAATGCTGTCATGTTCTTTTGATTTTTCTATTCGTTTCTGGTTTTGTACATGCCGTGTAATATTTATATATTACCGAAATGAACTGGAAAGTTTTGATAATCAAGAACTTTTTATTATATTGATAGTTTGCTTAGAAATGTTGTAAAACTGAATATTTTCTAATATTTATCACCCAAAATAGTAGGAGGCTTAAGTATAGAGAGCGAGTGCTAATGTGAACGATGGTCCTATTACGAATATACCTGACACGGATACTTTTGATGCTTTTCCACATTCACCTAAACGCCGTGCTTTCCCAGATAGCTGGATAGAAACGCTCTATTATAGGGAAGGCATTCACTTACGTAAGCACCAGCGTTGGCACTGTCCTTCCGAAGAAAACCTGTTTAGGTTGCCGTTGCATCCGCCGAAGGTGAAAGCCTTGCATTTACGGCTCTCAGAATCAAAATACCATGAAGTAAATGGACCTCTCCCACATGTGTTTCCTGGAGCTTTCGGCTTCAAGCAGTAACTGGGGATTTTTTGACTTGCCCCTATCGAATGAGCTAGAAGAATGAAACGATTGACATAATTACAGAACCTAAATACTGCAGGAGAAGCAAGTAGGAACTTGAAACTCTAGACTAAATGCAATCTCTGTGTGCTGAAGGCCACGAACAGAATTTACATCATAAGCATGTATAAAACACGAACAGCAAAGACATTGTTTGAGATACTTCTTACTTGTATCTATGTTTTAAACTTTTCATACTTGTAATATAATACGCAGTGCTACGCAGAACCAAAAAAAATTTTCCCCCCAACTTGTACATTCCGCATGTAGATCATAAGTGGCTCAGAAACTCACATTGAAATAAAAAAAAGCTTTTTCTTGGTTTTTGAGATGGCATCGCTGTGAGTCCTTCCATGTTGGAAGTTTCCAGTTTCATCTTCGTTATCATGGCTTCTTGTACCTGCAATTCAATCTTAAATACTGTGACCTTTAAATGTGCATACATCCATTAGTCTCTGTAATGTAACCCCCCGTACTCTCAGGGCGCAGTAATGCAAGGCAACGTCCACATTTCAGTAGGACCATAAGTACGCTGACGCCGGAGATAGAGCTCGACGCCGTGGAGGTGCGTAATTTAATTACCTCATCCGTGGCTGTCTGTATCGAAGTGTCGCGTACAGGTTCCCAGTTCGAGTAGCTTGCAACAGCCTCCAAATAATGAGTTATTGACTTAAGCCGTATACCAGTTCAGGTAATATTGCAAATAGGTATAACTGAAATAGGTGGTAATTACAAGTATTAAAGTACTCGTGCTTAAAATATTTCATGGCCTCACTGTATTACTAACGTAAACTATAGTGTATTTTGCTTGAGCTACATTTACTTTGATATAGAACATTTGTATGTCAAGCTTGATGATGATGTTGAGTAAGTCTTCATTTCGTTTAGAGAAGGTGCAGCACAGACCTCACGCCACTCGGATAGTGCCACGCAGGTGGCGTCAAGCCGAGCTTGGAGGGCCAATCGTGTGAACTCGGGGTGTTAGGCATTGTTTATTTTGAGGACATCGCACCAAATCTTCTTGAATATGGCAACTCCACATTGAAAACAAGCAAACCAAAATACAAGTACAATGTTTTATATAGATTAACGGATCCACAAGGTATTTTTGTACATGACATGGTGTTCTCATATACTCTACTATTGTCACGACGTCAAAACAGAGGTCTTGCCGTAGAGATTGAGACACCGGAAGCAGGTCAGTCTTTTTAATAGAACGCACAAGCGAGTTCTTTTGTTTTTCGTTAATTTCATAGTCCTTCATGGCACATGCACAACTGCCATCGTATATCTTGTTCAAGCACGTGAAATTTGCCTCCCTCCGAAAGAGGCATCGTCCTGATGTGCAACTTAGGCGCTCTACCAGGTGTATGAAGTGGTCGCGCCAACACGGCAACCGGGAGCTAATTAACTCAATAAATACAGTTTCATACGCACGACGTGCATGACTTCGGGTAAATGCTTTTGGCGCTTAGAACTACAGTCAGTGCCAGGTACAACTTCGTAGTATACGTCGTTCAAGCGTCGCGTGACGCTGTATAGGCCAAGGTACCGTCTTAGTTGTTTCTCAGAGAGTCCACGTCGACGTATCGAAATCCATACCCTGGCCTTCTCGCCTGGTGTGTAGCTAATGAACTTCTGTCGGGGGTCATACCGTTGTGCATCTTGATGCTGTTGATCACAGATGCGCACACACGTGAGCTGTGTGGCTTCCTCGGCGCGCTCAGGGAATTCTTCGGCGTCTACATGGATGTCGTCACACTCATGCCAGCGTTGCCGTGACTTCACGACCACAGATCATACTGAAAGGTGCCAATCCCGTGGTTTCTTGTCGAGCGGTATTATAGGCAAAGGCCACGTACGGCAATATCTGATCCCAGTTTTTTTTATGTTCCGTGTCAACGTACATTCTGATCATGTCTGTGAGGGTCCTATTGAAGCGCTCTGTCAGTTCGTTTGTCTGCGGACAATATGCAGTTGTTCTCCGGTGAGCTGTACCGCTGAGTCTGAGAACCGACTACAAAAGCTCTGCGGTGAAGGCAGATCCTCTGTCTGTGATCACTGCTGTTGGAGCGCCATGCCAAAGGAAGATGTTTTCGATGAAGAACTGAGCGGCTTCTGCTGCTGTGCCGCGCAGCATAGCTTTAGTCTCTGCATAACGGGAGAGGTAATTGGTGGCGACAATAATTCATCTGTTCCCTGTTGTGGAAGTTGGAAAGGGACCCAGGAAATCCATTCCAATCTGGGTGAACGGCTGTGCTAGTGCTTATACTTGATGATATAGACCAGCTGGCTTGCTGGGAGGCGCCTTGCGTCTTTGGCAGTCGGTGCAAGTTCGCACATGATGGTTAACAGCAGCAGGTAACTTTGGCCAGTAGTACTTGTTTCGTAGTCGGCACAATGTTCGGGTGTAGCCTAGATTACCAGAAGTTGCTTAATCATGGTACGCTTCCATAATTTCTTTTCGAAGAGAGGCAGACATGACCAGCAAGTGCGGTTGCCAGTTGGTGAGAACTTTTTTGTATAGAGAACATCTTTCGCAACCAAAAAGATGGCAGTCTTCTAGCAAATAACCGTGGCACGTCTTTACGTCGTCCTTTTAAATTTTCAATCAGTGGTTACAGGTCGAGGTCACTGCGCTGCTCTTGTGCAATAGTGGCCGTGTTGACAACTCGCAAGAATGCCGCGATGTTTTCATCATTATGAGCGATAGTCTCCACTGGCGACCGTGAGAGACAGTCAGCGTCGGTGTGCCTCTTCCCAGATTTATAGATGATGGTCATTTCGAATTCTTGAAGCCTTAGGCTCTAGTGCGCGAAATGGCCAGATGGATCTTTAAAGTTGGTGACTCAGCACAATGAGTGACGGTCGATAACAACCTTGAAGGAGGGGCAATACAAATATGGACGAAATTTGATGACCGTCCACACCACGGTGAGACACTCCTTCTCGGTAGTCGAGTAGTTCTCCTTCGTGCGAGAGAGCGTTCTGCTGGCGTAGGCAATTACTATTTCACAGCCGTCTTGCCGCAGCACCAAAATGGCACCCAGACCTACATTGCTGGCGTCAGTGTGAAGTGCTGTAGGGGCTTCCTGGTCGAAGTGCTCAAGGACTGGAGGTGTTTGCAGGCCTTGTCGTAGTTCATTGAATGCCATTTACTTTTGTTCACCCCAAAAGAATGGGACGTCCTCACGTGTGAGAAGTGTCAATGGCGCCGCAATAGAGGAAAAGTGGAGGTGCTGGAGCCTACAACCTGACGCGGGACAGCCTTGCTTGGGCCCGTTCACCTAGTCCAGAGACTCAGCCCCTCGTCACGACTCCGGTGCATCAATTCAGTAGGCGCCTACTAGGTCTAAGTCCGGAGTCCACACCTTTTCCTCCTCTTTCCAGCGTGGCAGCTCCTACGACATCCACGGCTATCCTTCCATCGCAGACCACTCTTCCCTCGCATGTGACTCTTGAACATCTTCGCGTTCCTGAAGTTTTCCGTGGGGAAGAGTACGAGGATGTCGAGGACTGGCTCGAACAGTTCGAACGGGTCGCTGTTTCCAAGCACTAGAGCAAACAGCGCAAACTTGGTCGTGCATATTTCGCACTGGAAAATAGTGCTCGCACGTGGTACGAGAACTGCGGGGCTACATTCCAATATTGGGAAGGTTTCCGTCGAAAGCTCTTCGCTACATTTTTGAGCTCAGACCGACGGGACCGCGCACAGCAACTGGTTGAGACCTACGTGCAAAACCCAACGAAACAGCCGCCATGTACCCAGATGCTATGATCCGTCTGTTTCGACGAGCTGACCCTGACGTGCCCGAGGCAAAGAAGGTGCGTCACCTAATGCAGGGTGTTAAGGAACCTGTGTTTGTGGGAATCGGACGAAATCCACCTACAACAGTACATGGATTCATAAGAGAGGCGACTGTCATCGAGTGCGCACTGCAACAACGTTGCCGACATTTTGACCGCCTGTCGAACCACACGGCAGTAAGTGCTGCAGCTCAGAACACTACTATATGCGAAAGTACTTTGCGACAAATGATTACGAAAATACTGCGTGAGGAACTTCGGGCGCTCTGCGTTCTCCCTACCCAGCACCTCCACCAGTGTCACGACGTCAAACAGAGGTCTTGCCGAAGAGATTGAGACACCAGAAGCAGGGCCGTCTTGAAACAGGTGGACAGAAGAGGCTCACAAGTACAGCGCTTGCGATGTCCTTGTCAGCCTCTTCTGCCCGTCTGTTTTATTAGAACGCACAAGCGAGTTCTTCTTTTTCGTCTATTTCATAGTCCTTCGTTGCACATGCACAACTGCCAACATCTTTCTTGAGCAAGCACGTGACAATATATTGCCCTGATAACGTGTGCTATATTCATAGCAATTGTCCCTGTGAAGATCTTTTATGAAAGTAGTGATGACTCACTTGTATGTATTACATGCAAAGTATTACGCGCATAGTGACAACATTCAACATCCTAAGTATGCTTCAGGTCGGCAAGCTATAGATTCCGCGATTCGCCTGAAATCATTTTACTTCTGCGAAATTTTCCTGCACTGATGTACGTGGTGCATAGACTCTGTACTTCTAAATAGAAAAACGTGAAGAAACATTGATGCTATAACAAATTATTTTAAAATTTCTCATTCATTCGTTAGTTTCATAGACACCGTATCTAATCAAGCGACTTACCATAAATGTGGCAGACTCTAGCAAAATACACAAAAAGTACATGTGTACTCTTCATGCTTAAAAATGTGCCCTTCAAATCTGCGGATGTCAAGCTTCAAGATATCATTTAAAGATGTGGCCCTCAGGCAGCAGCAGCCAGAAGAGCAAGGCACCAATTTTTTCAAGTTTCTTCTGTATGGGATAATACCTGAAATAAATAATAGGTTTTAAATGCACGTAATGCAATCTTCTGCTTATAAAAACACTATCATACAGTATGGTCATGCTTACACCATAGTTTGCCTTCTTTTTGCTTTATTTTTCTCGGAAGCTAAACCTGACTAATAGTAGTTGCAGCTTATACTAATGTATAAGATCTCAGAGGGTGAGATTACTGTCCAAAATAATTGAAAAGCAATACTGTCAACGCTTTGTTTTACAAGAAGGTGTTGTTACAGAACGGATAGATACCTATGACGTATTCTTTACACATGTTCGGCAAGTATATTTTGTGGACGCTTGTCCCACTTCATGTTACACTTTGAATCTTGTCAGAAGTGAGAGGCACAGGAATATTCCGCAGCACTGCTGTTTTTTTTATTTGAGTCATTTTTTGTTTCTGGAATATGCCTACACACTTCATGTTAATTATATATTTGCCTCAAGTAAGAAAACAAGCCACCAGGTAAAGAAAGGGCATAATTCACTACAAAAGAGGTTGTATATTGTGCCTAAGCCTCTGTATTTATACGTAATGCCTTCGTTTACACGTAAGTCTCACTCACATTAGTTTGTAGAACACTATTACGTGTTCTAGTTAGAAATGTATGCGCACATAGGCACACGGATGTCTAGGAACGTGCCAGCGCATTATAACATTGTTGTCGCTATGACAATTGCTTGAGTATTTTTTTCTAAATTAAATTTCAACAAGAAAGCATTCCTGTAGTAAGCATAGCTTTGCTGAAATTTGTGTTCTTAGTCACTCTTGTCAGACGTTTCACTCTTCTGGTCTTTTCCTCAAAGTTTTCATATATATTGTTACTGACATAGCGTTGCCATAGTGTGGAGATAATTTCCTTAGTGCCAAATGACAACGTGCTTGCCTTTTGTGCTATTTCGAAGTGTTGTACGAAATTGATTGCACCACCTAGAGCAGCATGACCACTGCTGTGGAATGCTGTAAATTCATGGATGCACTCGCATGTACATGGTACAACTGAATGTTCTATATTTGTTCTCGAGCGAAGCTCTTAGGCTGTCATTTCTGCATTGAGCAGTGTCACCGTTGGTGTTGTGGCCGTCGATGTAATCGATAGAGCGAACGAGGACGAAAAAGAGAGAACACCGAGTCCGTAGATTTCATAGGCCAATAGCCTCCAACTTCACTTTCTTTCTTCCTCTATCAAGCACGCCAATCTCTCAGTCGGGGCCCCAACTCATGCAGGGACGGTACTTGCACTGCATCTGGCTTTCTTTGTCCTAAATGTGCTGTCCGCATTTCACTTGATTCGGGGTGCCTGAACTGCACTGTATGGTGTTTGCAGCCCTCCAGCGCTGAAAGTTTCCCAGGCAGTATGTAACGATTGTTACATTGCTACAACCACGGAGAGCGAGAACCTCAAACCATAGTGGTGTTGCTCCTACACCAAGTAGCGCTCAGAGTTTGCCTTAAGGACGATCATGATCTTCGTTTTTTTTGTAAAACACCTAGTCAGGTATTGACGTCAGGAGTGAACAAGTGCGATGGGTGCTTGGGTCCCTGATGGCTCTGAAGACTACAATATACCCCCGGAGCATACAGAACACCACACTTCTTCTTTCATCTCAATTAGAACAGCGTGTTTTGGGAAAGACAGCTCCCACGCAAAATACACAAATCATATGTCATAGGCACTGCTCCGATAGCCCCGAATAAGGACTGCGACTCCGATTTATCATGCATGGAAACAGAAATGCCGTCCCTTTAGACTCGAGGGCAAAAGGCGTCTTCTTCCTATTTTGTCTGGATCATGACATTGAACTTACAAGTATCCTCCAAACACTTTAGGCAACAAACGTAACTTTGTAATGCATTCAAGATGCAATACAATTCATTAGGGTCATTAAAACTTCCTCAATGAGTAGATGAAATTAAGAACAGGACTTCATAAAAGGTGTTCTAGTGCCGCATTCCGTCCTTTGTACTACCAATGGCATGTTATCTATTTCGCACTGGTGTTGTTGTTTTTTAATTTCAGAAACACCAACATTTGTGTCACAATGCCTCGTCCATCCACCAACGCGCATGACGTGAACGAACACTTCCCGATAATGTTGTGCATAGAGCAGATGCTTCACTCAAAGTTAGATACTACGTAACTGAACCTCCCCGAGTTAGTTTAAAGAGCTTTTTAACTTAGTGTTAGCTGCACTGCCCCGCCGCAGTGGTCTAGTGGCTAAGGTACTCGGCTGCTGACCCACAGGTCGCGGGTTCAAATTCCGGCTGCGGCGGCTGCATTTCCGATGGAGGCGGAAATGTTGTAGGCCCGTGTGCTCAGATTTGGGTGCACGTTAAAGAACCCCAGGAGGTCGTAATTTCTGGAGCCCTCCACTACGGTGTCTGTCATAATCAAACGGTGGTTTTGGGACGTTAAAGCCCACATATCAATCAACCAATCATGTTAGGTCACTGGGGCAATGTCGCACGACTAAATTCACAAAGCACATAAATAAGGAACGAGAGTAAATACTGGCCTAATACGTTTACTTCAGCCCAAATACTGGTCTAATATGTTAATTCTGGCCTGTACACTGGACTACTATGTTGACGAAATACGTTGGGAGCACAAAAAGACGATGGAGAGCAGAGCTAAGTTTTCGAATAAGGGAGTATTACGTACTGCTGTGATGCAGACAATATTATTTCAGAAACTACTTATATGCGCTGCGTAGGCAATGTAATTCTTGCCATGTATAGATATTGTAAGTGCCATTCTAGCGTGCCTTTGTACAGCGGTTAAATAGCCTCTTGCCACACCTGAGCGGATCGAAAAGTGCGTGCCTGCAGCTGTGCACACTTGAAAGCGAAGGCAGGTGCAGATACAGAAAAACGGGAACGAACACAAAGCCTAGTTCGAGTGCAAACGACTGCTGAGCAGAGCAGTGCTACGAAGGTTTACAATGAGTGTCGCCCATCTTCAGCAACTTTTGTTTGACTTTCCTTTAAGCTCTCCGAGGAGTCTGTGATACTTATTGCTGATTTGGTAACACTACCCCTGCTTTCACTAGATGCGAGGCGTTGACACGGCTTGCGTAGGCTCACGACGCCACAAAGCAGCGCTCATCTTGTTAGTTCGGGGCGTGAAGAAATATGTATCATAGACGTGTGCAGTAACATAATAAACAGAAGATTATGCACATGAAAGCTACTAACATACAGAGAAACATAATAAAGAAAATAAACATCTGCAAGAACATGTGCATGTCATTTTGCGAATATATATTCATCTATGAATAGTATAACTCCCCATATGTCATGATTTAAATGTACGAAGATATTCACTCTAGTTTCTCTAATGAAAAAAATTGATGTTGGGATGTAAAAACAGTGTTATTCGAATTATGATTCATTACTTATGATCTAAACCTGCCCACTTTTTTATTGTAGCATATTTTCTAGTACTTCTTTACGATTACGACATTGATAACAATAGCCGAATTTCCACCGCACACCTTCCAACGGACGTTAAGGCACAGAGTGAACAATGCAATCTTCTTTTTCGTCCATGCCCTCTTTCTATGAATGTGTAAATTGCGTGCGCTCGATGTTGCATGATTCCAGGAAATGATGACGTGAACTTCACACTGCCTCTTCATCGACCTGATATAGTAAAGCTTCGATGGTGCGCCCGCTTTTTTTACTCATCATTGAAGCCATATGTAATCCGCACCTTATAAAACAGTAACATTTCGCGCATGTTTCACAAGTGTGCAGTGGAAATGGTGGCAGCACATTTGCTACGGTGAAGCTTACGATATTGGCAATTTTTTACTGCTATGGTTGCTGTCGCGTCCAAATATACGAGTCCACTAAATACTTACGTGTACTTTCCGCGAAGATAAGCTTGTTATCGCATCTTCTGTGGCTACTTTTGTGCTGCTGTAATTGTGACAGTTTCCCGATTCACTTTTTCAGTGCAATCTAGGAGGCAATGTTTTGAGCGTAACAAACGTTATCATTTTTTTTTTCTAAATGAAGATATGGGGCAGCGTCTCAAGAAGACACATCAATTATATACTTGAGTGAAAAAGTCTATTGTCGTGCCTAAAATATACAAAAATTCTTTCTCGTTTTTGTGGAAATAAAGTAACGAAGCATGCCTAGAGACAACGAACGCACCTTTTTTTTTGGCAGAGAGCACAATACACTAAAATAATGAACAATTGGTGCTGTGGTGGAACAAAGCATTCAAATTGTCACCCACAAAAAAGTACACAGAAAGCTGCAGTTAAAAAAAGTGTTATCTAATGTCGTGAGACAAACAGACGCCTAACAATGGCCCAAGGTTGGCTTTGACAATCTGGAAGAATGAAGCCAAAATGCTTGTGTGTTTTCCTGGTGTGCTTGGTAGGCGTGCAAGGTAAGGTTCTGAAAAAGCTTAAATTTCCATGTAGTAACACACCCAGACTTGTAAATATTTAATTATTGAGAAGGGTGCATTCACCCCTGCAAATGGAAAATGAGAATCAGTGAAATCTTCCAAAAACAATTCTATCTCCAAAACGCTCGGGGACTTGTTTCCTATATTTATTCACTTCGAAATATGTACGCGTTTTTCGTTTGCTATTATCTTTTATTGTAAAGTGTTAGCTATATATTCGGCAAGTACACGTTAGGTATGCTTTTCTCAAGGCATTGTCATTTAACAGGCCATATTGAGGCACGTCGCTGCATTGGTTCTCACACTGAAACTTCTCTCGCACGCCTCTCAATCTTCTCGCCCTTCTATTTTTACTAGCGGAAAGGCCAGCTCAGATGGCTGAGCAAAACTGCCAACTTTACAGAAGTACAACTTGGAACTCATGTTCCGTTCTTCTAATGCAGCAGCTGTCTAATGACGTTGAGAGAAACACAACTGTCACGTTCCAAGCTTTTGTTGATCGGTACAAACTTTTATGAGGTATACATCCATTGAGAACACAACAGCCTTCTATTGTTCTCTCATGATATCTTATTGGGGGGGGGGGGGTGTATTGGTTTTGATAAGCACATTTCACGTTTCCTTCACTGGCAAGAATACGATGCGGAAACATACGTGCAGGTATGATTTTCATTTGCTTAGTGTCGATCGGTACAAACCACTGTTCTCACGAATCTATCTATCTATCTATCTATCTATCTATCTATCTATCTATCTATCCATCTATCTATCCATCTTTCTATCTATCCTATCTATCTGTCTCTAAATAAATATATATATATATAAATATATATATATATATATATATATATATATATATATATATATATATATATATAGTGGGAGTAATAATTCAATGGGCCAGTTAGTCTTCGTGAAGGTATGGGATATGGCACAACGGGAGCGTTGTATAACTCATCCCCTGATGAAGGGAGGACCCCTCCCGAAACTGTTGGGAAATAAATATATTTATCCTTGTTGACAACGCTCCCGTTGTGCCATATCCCATACCTTCATATATATATATATATATATATATATATATATATATACATATATATATAGAGTTCTCTTCGAAGTATTGTGTAAGTATCATGATATTTGAATTTAAAATTTAACACATGCCCAGCACGCGCTACCGTCGCCCTATAAATCTGGTGCCATGACCCCTTCATTGCAATAAAATGTCTAGCAATAGCCATATGATAGTTATTGTTGAAATACGCGTGAGCATGAAGTACTTCGCCTGAAATCTGTGGAGACACGCCTATGAATAATACCAGTGCGCAATAGCGAAAATGCCTGGAACCTACTGGCTACGTTGCTTTTTGTTTTGTATCGGTGTTATGGCAGCGGTGGTTATTATTACGCGTGTATTTTTCATTTCAGCTGCTTGGTGGAATGTGTGGCCTAAATGCTGGAAACGCAAAGCCGTCGGTCACTGTTCTCAGAAGATACCATCGTGGTACTACAGTTTCTGGAGTGGCAATTGCAAAGGTTTCCTATACAGTGGCTGCGGCGGAAACTCAAATCGATTCAGTTCAGAAGGGGAATGCCAAAAAGCGTGCACACGTAAGTACCACCTTCTGATATCTATTGCGTAGTTATTTTTCGTACACAGTCTTCTGAAGTAATGAGATAAAGGAGTTTTGATATGCTGTCTTAGCAAAGTGCAATTGAAGGCAAAGGTAACGTCCGTTATTAGGCGCGTAGCGCTTTTATGAGCCTGTTTTCTCGTCCATCTATCGATTTTTATGTGGCGTGATTACGCTCCATTTATTGAGGTAAATATGCGCTTGAAAGAATGCTAAAATGCTATAAACTGGAATAAACAAAAATGAAGATTGTCTAAAGTCATATAAGTGCAGAAATTATCAAGACGTAATCGCAACAATCGCTACAAGATTGCTAAACACACCTCGAAAACAGTGTCACGACCTCCGATGTTGCGCGAGAGGGCGCCACCACCCAACGAAGTGCACAGTAGCTCCACCTTGCAGCGGTTCTCCTGCGCTCTATCAAGGCGCGCCGTTTCGCATCAGCCCCTGGTAAGACAGCGTCGGCTCTTGTCGAATACCTAGGCGAGAGCTACCGAGCACCTGCCGGTCGACAAGCTTGACGGGCTAAGCGACGACAACGAAACCCGGGCAACGTCAAGGCTTAGACCTCTGCGGTTTGTAGCGCAGTTAAGCCACTGATGAACTCAAAGTCAAATAAGCGTAAGGCTAATGTTTACAGCACCAGACCATTACAACTGCGGGGCGTGAGAGGGAGGCCACCGCGAAATGTGCATAGTGCCAGAACCACTCAGCCACCATCACGTGCGCAAACACACCACAAAGATTCTATTACACCATTTATTCACCGTCACATATTAGCACACAGCACAGAGCACATAGAGTAAAAACCTCACATTGCCACAATTACACATTAGAAAGACAACGCTAAAAGCACCATTAAGAATTGCAACTAAATAATAAGAACGAAATGAATGGTCATGCGTTCGTGTGCCACGCACACTCTCAGATATCACACTATATAGTGGACCTAAATATACTCATTTATGGAATGATCGTGCAGTTGCAGTAAAAAAAAACTTTCCTATTTGTAGTTTGTAGGCTAGCTTTGTTGTGAAATATAATTCAGACAAAGAACCTGAAATAACATTGCCCCTCAAGCTACTCGATTACATTGCCTGGTTCATCGAGGCTGTATGAACACGCTGCAGTTGCATAAGCGCTTGATGCACTTAGACATAGAGAGTACAGAGAAGAGTTTTGGTGAAGCGAAGAAGTTGCATGAATGAAACATGTCTTTTGTGTTTCGAACGACGAACATGGCGGATGGCCGTGACACATGCATTTCCATGGGCTCTCCTGCGACAATGCGTAGTACCAACGCCTTCTATTGTTCTTTTTTTAATTGATGTGATGTGATGAGGTGTTGGCGCTCAAATAGAGCGCCGGCTACTCTTTCTCGCCTAAAGATGCATAATAACAAAGTCCACGGCATGTCTAAGTCTCCAAGCGTAGCAAGTGCACTGCTCATACATATACAATTAGCATAACAGTTTTTTTCATTGGCAATGCAGACACGTGCTGCCCAACGGAAGCCGTCTGTTTACCTTAGTTCTGAGAATGGTCATGATGCGATGCCACATGTAGGGTGGGACTGCTTGCATCAAGCGTGCGTCTGAAGGCTTGACCACGGAGATGCGATAGATGTGTTTTCCTCTCCAATATCGTACGTTTGTTAGATGATTTATTTGGTGCTCCTTCTTTGTGGCTCAAAGCAATGCCACCTCCTCAAAGCACTCTTAAGTCGGTGAATGCGCTGCATCGACGCTTCCCTATTGGTTGCCCGCATAGCGTCATGAGCGGCCACATGGTATCTCAAAACACCGCATATATTACAGAGCCAGCGTGACCTCCAACACTGTAAACATGAGGAATGCAAGACGCTGCCCCACAGATTTGTTGATTGAACCAAAAATTACTGTATATGACTTTTGTTGTGAGGCACCACAAAGGAGGTTCTCTCGACCATTATCGCAAAGCAGCAAAGGCTAGGCGGTGGGCGATAGCAGAAAAGGGCCAAAGGACAGGGTGGTGAACGGCTGGATTGGGTGCATCCGGTTAGAGTTTAAAAAATAGATGAGGCGCTGGTATAGTACAAGCATAGAGTAACATAAAAACGCAAGAGTGGTCACTCCGGCGAAATGCGACAGAGCTACGCAGCTTCACGCCAACCGTAAAAAGGTAAGACATCACTTACTGTATTTATGGAAACGCGCGTACTGGTTATCTACTGCAGTACTTTTCTAGTGCTTTATACACTGATGTATCTTTGTGACTTCAATTGTGTGTTTTACCATCACGCATTCAGGCTCGAAATCTGTATTTATCACCTGCAATGGAACAGTTTGATATTGTCGGGCAGGACCTGGCATGAATCAGATGCGAGATAAGTGCGTATGGCGTCTATGTGACTGCAATGTTGTCACTCTCCGTGTTGATGAGCATTCGAAGCAGTGAAAAAGCACAGACAACAGCAGGGAGACACGTTAAAAGATGTGCAATAACGTTGCCGACATGGGTCATGGCCTTTGCTCGCTTCGTCTGCCTCGCTTCTTGTCTGCTGATTGGCACGAGGGCCGTCGTCACTTCGTTAAATGCGTATTGCACTCTGCATTGAAGTAATAAACTACCAGTTGTCGCATTGTGCTGTTTCGGCGTAGAGAGCGTTATTGTGCTGTTCACTTCTCGTATTATTCTCGTAAATTGCTTAATTTAACACACACACACACACACACACACGCACGCACGCACACACACACACACACACACACACACACATAACACACACACACACACACACACACACACACACACACACACACACACAAAACTGTTTAAACTGCTGCGCAGTACCTTGGCGAGAAAATAGTTTCTTGGCTCAAGAAAGTGAGCTGCTGCTGCTCGCATTGTTAGTTTTCCTTTGTGCTGGTATTACATGTCCTCAAATTCATTGTATGCGTAAGATAAGGTGCAGTTATGCTTAGTATCGTTACCTCAGGCGTTCGAAAATTGCTTAAAACTGTTTTAACGAGTGCAATAAGAGAGAAGTGGCGATTCAAGACAAATGTTTGTTAGCTAAAGCGACGGCGGAATTTTCTGAATAAACACTGCTGCCTCGTTAACAGCTTGCGTGGTACCAGAAATTCCTTTGTTTTGCTGCGGTGATTGCTTGTGACTGTTTTTTTTTTGCGAGATAGTGATGTAAAACAGATAGATGAAAATTTGTGCAAAGGTGGGTACGGAAACGTAGCCATCATGCCGTCCGAAGTCGAGTGCTGCAGCAATAACTGAAGTGTTGCGTTGCGCACTCTATGCCTAGGTTTGAGCGTTCAGTGCACTTTTACTTTGCTGCGGGTCTTTTTGTAATGTCGTCTATAAGTTTATTTATTCTGTAAATTTAAACTCATTAAATGACAGCTACCTTGCCGCGTCTTCCAGTGCAATGAACCTATTTCCTCCTACCCGTGTTCATCAAACATTGAGAAGGAAAGTGGGCATGTGCTCACCAATAGTATGACTTCAAAATAGAAGTTTTTGTTTTTCCAATACAGTTCTCCCGTTTTATTGAAAACTTGTGCGAAGACACACAATGGCCTCTTTTTCTTGCCGCTCTGGTAGTGCACTTTACACGAAGATAATCGATGCAAGTTTGTTATTCGTCAAAAAATAACAAAAATAAAGTATTGCCTCAGAGAGAAGCACACACACAGAAGCGGTCTCGGAGGATGCATAATTCTCGTAATTGCTAGGAAATGGCTTTCAGAAAATTCTGCAGCCCCTGCTCTGTGACTGCAAAGTTTCCGTACGCCTGTTTCTTGAGTTGCGAACCAAAATCAGCCGTTGGGGCATATGGGGGGACTCCTCTCTTAACTTTTTATATATTGCTCTATGGCACAAGAGCTGGCATTCCACCTTGAAGTAGTCCAACAGCAGAGCTATACGGCGTGCAAGTTGGCGGCCGGGCGTTACTCCCCGATACCGGGAAAATAATTGTTCAAAAAGTGGTGCCACTGCTTCCGAATAATGGCGGGCTTTATGGTCATAGGCAAAAACTCGAGTGGTTGGCGCAGGCTCGTTGCTTCAGCGATCGGTAACTTCACCACTCTTCGCTGATTGTTGTATTCGCCGACATACACTGCCGCATGACTCCGAAGAGCCACAGAGCCAAGGAGTAATTAAAACCTCCCCGTACACCAAGCAACTCTTTATAATTCATTCGCAATCGCTATATATTAAGGTGCATATAACAGTTGACATGATAGGCCGCGTGTGAAGAATCATTTAGGTGCGTATGCTATGATTCTAAGTTACGTAAACACCGCAAGGTCACGCTAACTACATGAACGCAATAATTTGTTTGCGGGTTTTCGTGTAGCATGGCAACCACCATGTGTCCGCCATGCTTGAGGGTGTTTGATCTAAGTTTCGGAACGCAGCCTTTGTTCACAAAAATAGCCACATAACCTCCGTACACATTCGAAGCAGTATTTAAATGGGCCACAACATGAAAAAAAAGAGTCTTTTGTACTTCAAGTTCAGGTGCATTTTTAAGGCCCAAGGGTAGTGCAATTGATCCTAAGTTTGTCATAACAACGTTCATATTTGCATGTTCAAAGCCCAAGGGTAGTGCAAATATTCCTAAGCTTGTCATAACAATGTTCATATTATGGGACCAATTAAGGGTGTCCCACGCAACTTGAGCCACAGTTTAAAAACATGCCGAACACGTAATTACGACGCGACGGAACGCATGTTGCTCACCGTTGCCTGGAGTTTGTTTAAAGTATTGTTTAATGAGATATGTTAATAGGTGACCGGTAATATGGGCAATCGCAGGCAACTGTGGGATACGACGGCTTCTGGTTCGACGCACCACGCGGGTTAGCAGCAGCACGCATGCATTTTTATATCGCTCTTTTGAAAAAAGCACCTCTCCGTGTAATGTCAGTGCTTTAGAAGTTCGTTTTTTCTGTTTTTGCCAATTATGACTGTGACGATGACAAGCTACAAAAGCCATGAATGGCAAGTAAATTTTTTATCACACTAAAATGATCTGCAATGCTTTTATGCTGCTTGATTGTATTGTGAGTATGGCTAGCAGATCAGTTGATACTTTCTTTGTATGGTATGTCACTGACGTACGCAGGCTGCAGATAAACAAACCACCATTTTAAAGGTCTCAGAGGATGGGGATGACTGTAGCAGTGAGCTAAGAGTACATTTCGGTATCGCTGCTTCGGCCGACATGGTCAGTAAATTGGCTTAAAGCGCAGCGCTTATTTTTATATCTTTTTATTTTATTTATTTATAGAATATTGCAGATCAAAAGTCCAAACAGGGTGAGCATAATACTAACAATAACAGAAAACAAATTCGCAAAGTGTTTTTTAGAAAATGATTTTGGTTGTAAGACGAAAAAAACGAAGTGTTTGGTCATAATACAATTATAAGGAAGTAACAAAACAACAGTATTTGCACAAATAGTCACGGGCGTTCGGGGAATGTTTTCGTTAGTTTATTTCAATCAGCTGTAGTTTGTGAGAAAAAGGCGCAGCGAAAAGTGTCAGTCCTTGCGAAGATTGGCATTAAGGAATGAGGATAGTGTTGCTTAACAAAGGAAAAACGTACGCTGTGGTGTTCAAGGATAGCCTGTGGCTTTTTTACATGTTGGAAACAACCTCTAGACGGCATTGTTTTCTCCGCGTTTGGAATAATTCAATACTACTTGCAGTTAGTAGTGCAGTGGGGGAGTGGGTTGCCTTAAATTTAATATAAACCAACCGTATGGCTTTCCTTTGAATTCTTTCTTGGTTTTGAATGTTAATTTTTGTGCGCGTTGAGATATGTTCTTTTTCTAGCTTTCAGCGTGCTATAAGATGCATTGATTAGTCAAAGCCAAGTGCTTATTTGAACGCTGATCTTGATTAAGCTGCGCGGCACAGTGGCACATAAACAATACAGTCAGACATAGACGGCACCGAACATTCAAAACCCTGAGCTTGTTTAACGAACTTCTTTCTTCGGGTGCCGTTCTGGCACACAGATGACCAAAATAAACGCAATTGGACTCGTCCAGCGCTTCGTTTAAACTTACTCTTGAGTGAAGCTTTCGAGTTTTTTGTCATATATATGGGTGCAAAGGCCGGCGCTCATCTCGTATGGCAGGTAGATTTCACCCGCGCATTCCAATAATATCTTTGCGTTAGGCACGGCTGCGCGGCAATTCTTTTATCAATGTAACATTCGCAGCAAATTCACGCATAAGCTTTTTTAGTGTGGAACACACACGTACCAGTGATAAAATGATTTTCTCACACCCTGGCTTCAGCGTTCCGTACTCAAAGGCTACCTGTCGCTGTGGCTCTCTTCACAGCCGCGGTCCACCTCATTTTCTTTCTTCATTACATTAGAATTTATACCTGCGTTTGCCTTTCACGCTCGAGTTGGAGCAGCCAACAGCTGAAACATCTACAATGGTTTATCAGGACGATGATAAACGGGCAACCGCGCGCACGAATCCTGAATAATCTGAGGCTTGCGGCCAAGTGGTTCGCCATCGTCTACTCTTTTCGAACCAAAGATCGGTAGCAGACGGGGCATCCCACCATCCTTCGCTCTTTTACTGGTCATCTATTAAATAACTTATCAAAAAACGAAGATAGACTAAAAAATTCAATCGAAAAGTTGTAGATCGGTTTAAAAAGCGTTCGACTAGACAGTTTTGAACTTTATATTTGTTAGCTATTAGTGTTTTTCTGCTTGTTACAAATTCTGCAAAATACACCAGAAATACCACGTGACAAGTTCACTCGTGCGCCAGTGTGCCCAATGAGTCTAGCGCACCCTAACGTTCCGCGTACGAACGACCATAGCATTTGCCCCATTGTGCTTTCTCGGTGGGGCCGCAACGATGGTGGTGGCTTTACGATAAACACGTTTTGCTATCGGCCACAAAACGATAACCGCTGTGACTGCTTATCGCTGTCATGAACCGGTGCGAGAGAAGCGTGTCGTTCGTACGTGGAACGTTAGGGAGCACTAGAATCATTGTGCGCAGTGACGCGCGAGCGGGTTTGTCACGTGGTATTTTTTCGTATTCCGAGGGCGTTTGCCGTTACCAGAAAAGCACTAACACCTAACAGATATACAGTTCAAAACTGTCTACTCGGACGTTTTGCAAACCGATCTAGAACTTTTTCATTGAAATCCTTTATCTATCTTCGTTTATTTAAAAGTTAGTTAATTAAACATATCGAAATAAACATTATTTGAGAACACAAAAATAGTCTAACTCCAAGCAACAATGAGTAACATGCATTTGGTCGGGTCGTAATTACGTGTTCCGGCATATTTTAAAACTCAAGCTCAAATTACGTAGGTAGATACCCTGTATAGTGGTAATTCACTAACAAGAGGATTCAAGGTTCGCGCCAGGTTCACAACTTTTCGCATGCGCTCTGCATAAGCCTATACCATAGACTACGACATAAATGGGCTATTTTGAGAATCGCCCGTACAATGCTAACACCCATAACAAGAGCCGTACAAGGGGCCAGAGGGTTTCGTCTTTACATGTGACAGCCGCCAGTTGTTAAGTCTGTCGAATGCCTTCTGAGTGCAGTTAACTTGTGCTTGATCAATATGCGTACTAGTCTTAGATGTATTATTGTCACTTCGGCAAAACTGCGCACTGATTGCACGTCGGTGTATTTTCAACGTGATAGTGCTATATAACTCTTTCACAGCAATGCCCGTGTTGGACTCACTGGCAGTGACAAAAATCAGCTTTTGCTTACCGAGAAGTCACAATCAATACAAACAAATATATACCAGGAAACCTTATTTTTGTGCAATATAAAACCTGGTTTCCTGCTTGTCAAGCAGGAGTTCTACCACCGGGTAACGTCATTACTTGGAAGTGCCTCAGAAAAAAAAAAAAAAACTCCATGCGAACGTCACGCATGCATTGTTGCGTGGTAAGAAAGAAGACATTATTTACCGATTGGGTCGGAAGTTTCGTCTTGATAGCCTCAGGTGATATCTCGGAGCTCCTGGACTGAAGCGACATGTTCGGGCTGCTGAATGGCACAGAGATGGCCCTTTAGCTTCGAACTTCAGAAGGCCGCCTCCCAGTGGCAGCGGTGCCAGCGAAGAAGGACCAATGTGGCTACTGCAGCCAAATGAGCTCGAGGCTTTCTTTGTTCTGGCCATGCTGGCCGGTATAGGCACATTTCGGGAGGCAATGTTTTTACGACTTGTCACCCAAACAATTGCTCAGCACGTGGCTAAGTGTTATTCCGTACCCGAACGCTTTCCATATATCGGTGGTGTATATGTTAGGGTAGCAGTGGCCTAAGATTGTCGGTCTATTGTATGAGTAGGTTTGGAGTAAGCGAAAGCTTCTGGCATCAGGCCTGTTTAACTTACAGTGCGATGGCGCGAATTTAGGGCTTTGCAGCCAGCCTATAGGGTCGAGTAGTTTCTCGGAACGTTGTGAGCCGATCACCCTACGACCATTGTGATCCCCGTGGCTGCATGCCTGTCGAAAGGTCTCGGAGAAGCTTGGAATCTGACAAGCGTGAAGGTATTGGAAATGTGAGGGTCAGGGGTTCAAATGCCCGCAGATTGCAAAGAATAGATATTTGAACATTGGAGTCGTTTGAATAGTGTAGTGTAGTATAGTGTAGCAACGGGGCGGGACGAGAAAGTGAGAGCCAGGACAAAATATGTGAGGTTGAGCACGAGGAAAAAAGGGAGTGCAGAAAGTAAAGGATAGCATATGCAGAATAATAAAAAGACGTAAAGTGAAAAAAAAAAGAGAACGATCCCCAAAAGAGAGACATAAATCAAGAGAAAACAAGAAAGAACCAGAACAAAAGAAAAGCATAGGCAAGCATCAATTATAAGGAGAGTAAATGGAGCAAGATAAAGAAACAAGGATGAGAAAAAAATAAAGAAGAAATTAGTGAAGATAAAGAAATGAACAGAAATAAACAGAGACAACACAAGTGATTCAAATACCATGAGAAAAAAAAAGAAAAATAAAGGAGAACAAAACTGAAGGGAAATCAAGAAGGCTTTTAAAATATGCCTTTCCTTCAGTCATGGTGCCACTGGGGGGAAGCTGCCTTTAATTTGTTGTACAGTACCAATATGAACATCCTCAACAATGCGAGCAGCTGTGTAGGTGAATGGGTTGCCTTACGGACGCATGTTGGATACTTTGATGATTCGAATATGTAGTGAGGTGCGCAAGCATGCTGCTGATGTACTTCTCATAGCCTTTGCAGCACTGCAAGAAAGTCGCAAGGTGAAGTGACAGTCGTAGAAAGGCAAACAGAGTCTCAAATCAAACGAAGCTTGGAAAGTGCGTTTTCTCTTTCGTCACCGTTCATCTTTCTATCACAGGTCGTCACAAAAATCGGGAAGTCTGCAGCTTGAAGGCCAAACCCGGAGTTTGCCAAGGTTTTCGTCCATCGTGGTATTACGATGCTGCGCAAGATCGTTGCCGTGGATTTATTTACAGTGGATGTAATGGGAATGCGAACAGATTTCAAAGCTGCGAGAAGTGCATGAGACGGTGCAGTGGTAAGTTAGTGAAATTGTTATTGAAAGTCCTGATCAAAATCTTTCTTGGTTTTTTGCTATGGAAATGTATTGTTCTCGATATTGCTTTGCATGAGAAAGTACGTGTGGGAGAGCCATGCTAAATAAGGTCAGACACAATTGGTTTCTTTATCTAAATATGATCATCAAGAAAAAGAAAGGCCAGAAGAAAACAATCCTATCTCTTATCAACGAAGAGTAGAGCCTATGCACTCGGCGTTTTCAGTGAACTGTGCTTTGCAGTAGGAGATGCGTTATTGCATTTGATTTTTCACACGAAATTAACGTATTTGTGAAGCATCACCCCACGTCCAGAACTAATGTTCTCTGATATGTATAAGTAGTACACTTAACCGAGCAGAAGCAAGTGGCGAATATATGATTTCATTACAAGCTCTGAATATGCCGCAAAAGTAGGCTGATCCCTAATCAGCTGAAAATTTGCCGAAGACCACTTGGGCGGAAGTGCAACGCTACAGTTGCACAAGGGCGAATATGATTTACTTTCTGGTAAAAAAGAAGCGTGGTAGTGGTCTGGTGACACTGGCTGGGCTTCGAACTACACCAGACGTGGCCTCGCAATATCCCGCTCGTTTGCGGCTTCCGACAGTCTGGTACAGTTGAAAAGTTAAAGTACCAGTTTGCTTGTATAGTGCGCTAGAGTAACGAGAAAGTGACAATCAACACCTATGAGACTAGTCATCATGACATTTCCAGGCTCTCTCATTAAGACCTGCGCTTCTTCTACTTAAACTTTCTTAATTATTCTCGTGGATAGATGGAACACATTGGCTTTCAATGAACCACACACAATGAAAAAAAAAGAAAATCAGTTAACTAACCAGAGTTCCTAGGAATGAAGCAATGTGGAAAGTATCAGGAAAATTCACCTTAAAATCGGCCAATCCTCTCCATTGAGTACCAGCTTTGGGCAGAGGAAAACAACAACAACAACAAAAGGGAAGGTGCGTGCTGGCGTAGCATCGTACAAGAATAGAAAAATACTTCCCATTCCGTTGCGCGAAACGTTGAACCTTTCCCCAACGGTTGATATAAGAACTAGTATTTTCCTCCATATCACTGATGTTGGTTCGCAGAAACTAAATACGAGGGAGTTGAAAATATTGTTGCCATTGCACACTTTAGCCCCAGTGAAAAAGGGAAATACAATTTCGCAATTCTTCCTTTTCAGCCTAGCTCTACTTCTCAAACATGGCATGTAATCGTGATCTGAGCTCCGTCATTGTTTCTTTGAAAGTGGAGCAGAACATTAACAAGACAAAAAGAGAGGCGCATGCACGGTGTCCTGAGGTTGGCTGCATTGTGAATTTTAAATGGGAAGCATTTCTTAGCGAACTTCGGCGACTTTGAGCGTATCTATCTATCTATCTATCTATCTATCTATCTATCTATCTATCTATCTATCTATCTATCTATCTATCTATCTATCTATCTATCTATCTATCTATCTATCTATCTATCTATCTATCTATCTATCTATCTATCTGTCTGTCTGTCTGTCTGTCTGTCTGTCTGTCTGTCTGTCTGTCTGTCTGTCTGTCTGTCTGTCTGTCTGTCTGTCTGTATATATATAGCCGCCTATGACTCTCCTGGCTGTTTCGATAATGGTATCAATACCAAACTTGGTCTGGCATAGCATGAGTGTATGAAGAATATATTTGACTAGCCATAACATGAAAAACATGACATGTATGTCATAAATGTCATGACTTACATTTGATGGCCCTGCAGCTCTTGCGGTCGTTTCATTCACATGCCATGTTGCAAAACTGGTGTGGTATGGCATGATTGCATAGCGAACACAAGTGACAGACCCTAACATGAAAATCATGACGTGCGCGCCATGTAACAACATGACTACATGCCACGCTCATCACGCGCTCGCGGCCATTTCGCTAGTGTAACATTTACCAAATTTGGTATTACAGTATGTGAATGGATGACGAAAGTAAGTGACTGGAGCAAAAATGATAATTGTGAGATTCGTGTCATGTAACAACATGACTACATGCCACGCTCATGGTGCGCTGGCGGCTGCTTCGCTAGCTTCACTTATACCAAATTTGGTATTACGGTACACGAATAGATAACGAAGGTATGGCACTGGTGCAAACATGATAAACATGAGATGCTTGTCATGTAACAACAAGACTATATGCTACGCTCATGATGCGCTCGTGGCCGTTTCGCTAGCTTCACATGTACCAAATTTGGTATTACGCGACGCGAGCGGACGACATAGGTAAGTGACACATCCAAACATGATAATCACGACATCCAAACATGATAATCACATGACACATCACATGACACATGACACATGGCACATCCAAACATGATAATCATGAGATGCGTCTCATGTGGGAACATGACTACATGCCACAGTCAAGGTGCCAATATATTTCGACGCGACGTGGTGCGCGTACTTGCCGGTGTTCATTTCGTCGCGTCACCCCTGCGTTGCCATGCTAGGTGCCGGTTCTGCCATATACTCGCAGGCGCGCGCCGCCCTGCGTTGCTTTGACGCATGCGTGTTTCATCACGTGCGTCGTCCCTCCGTTACGAAAAGAGAGACGCAGTGTTGTCTGTGTAACGCATCGGCGCGAAACGCAGCATGTCGAATTTCGCGCCGGTTGCCGTCGGGCCGTGCCGATGAACGCTGGTCGAGCCTGGCCTCATACTATAGAGTGCTCGCGTTTGGCTAACGTAGCGTCACTGTGTCCAGCGTGCGGGTGCGTCAGCAGTATATTGGGCCCTTCATGATGCGCCAAAGTTGGTGTTATACCAAATTTGAAGTTACGTGACGCCAATGGATGACGAAATATGTGAGTGGCGCAAACATGATAATCCTTACACACGTGTGATGTAAGAACATCACAACATACCACGCTCGTAGCGTGCTAGCGGTCATTTCGCTAGCTCCATATATACCTAATTTGTTATCACGTGACGTAATTAGATGACGAAGGTAAATAACACATCCAAACATGATAATCATGACACGGAAGTCATGTACGGCATCATTTACCTCTACCTCGTAACCTTGTGCTGATTTTAAAGTGACACTTCAACATTTCTCATTCGTGCTTCGCATATCATCAATTCCCACTGTACATGGGATCTGACAATATTTGTACACATCAGCGTCGCCGTCGACGGGAAGCTACCGCAGAGACAAAGGAGAAGACAGCGGATGCAAAGCGGCGATGGCGACAACAAAGTTCTACACCACAGACTAGGGCTAAGGAAGCAAAGGCTAAGCGGGAAAAACGCCAAGCTGATGCGCAGTTGAGACAACTTGAAGCGGATGCAAGGCGGCAATACCGACAAGAAAATTCTACACCAGAGACGACAGCTAAGGAAGCTGTGATTATGAAGTCAAAACGTAACCCGGAACTCGGAACCTCATATCAGCTCTAAAGAATAATCACCGCTGTATCACAATCAGTCTCAGCACTATCTCTTTGAATAAAAAATATATAAGTATCGCAGCCACAGTCAGTCTCAGTACTATCTCAACTTTAATCACAATAATCACCTCCGAAAGCTTCGCCCCATGATTATCTTCAAGCAGCTTCGAATGCAGTGATTTTCTTAAACATCGCTCGACATAAAGACAATGAGCTGAAAAAACCTTGCTTACGAAAACGTGTGCATGCAGCTGTTTGAATTATCCCTTCAATATCTTATGCACCACATCAAATGCATTCAATCTTCAATAGAAACACAAAGTATTTTATTCTAGTTCAGAGAAACTTCTTCAAGTTACTACTCCTCGAAACAACAACTAAATCTCTATTGACGTTATCTTATGGGCATATTCAGCCCAGCCTGTTCGTTACTGTCCTACCGTGAGGATTCATTATTACATTTTGCAAAAATTTTCAGACATGAAAAGTTTCTATTTTACACTACGATGGAATCTCTTGAAAACCCAGTTATATCATTCCGCGAGTACCGTGTGTTACTGTTGTATGTGTCGCAGATGTGTGACGCTGAGGGCGTCGCTCCTTATTATCGCGCTGTGACACACGCTTTTGAGTTGTACCAAATAGGAAGTTTTCTGCATGCCCTTAGGCAGCCCGTCAGAAGCTAGTCCCAATACGGAGCCTCAGATTGGAGGCCTCAGACCGGGAAAAGGAGGAGCCATTTTCAAACAACCCACACAAATTATGTATTTATCGCACACGGGAAAAGAGAAAAAAAAATTGGCCGCGTATCTGCATGTAATCTGCAAATGTCGTCGAAAGACGACAATCTTGCGAGGGGAGAGAGTGAACAAAACATTTATTTGATGTTCTGCGCAAGAAACTCGGTGAATGGTATTCCGGAGGCACTGCGTTAGGCCGCGTTCAAACTGAGCATTCCGGCCGCCGAAAGTGCCCTGAATCCGGTTCGGCGGTGGTGAGATCCGCCGAAAGGGCCCCCCCGCGCCGATCGCTCTCGGACCGATTTTTGCGGCGTCTGCCGCCGAATCGGTCACCGCTGACCAATAGAAGCGCTAGTCAAGGAATTTTGAAAAATGGCGGCCAAGCCCTACTCACTTGTTATGCCGCAGTGCACGTAACTGAATGTTGAAACCAACGGGAGTTTAACCTACTCTGTGCCTACTTCGCCTCCGTATTTCGTGGAAGAGGTGACCGAGCTTACTGTTGGCGTGACCGAGCTTGTTGCGGTCTTGCAGAGCAAAACAAACCCACCAACGCCGCTGGCGTCGGTGGTTTTTCTGCTCTTCGTGCATTACAAGACAGCCACTTGCCAGCAAAGTAAGCAGTACTGTCTTTTCTTGCTTCTTGCGTACGAGAATCGTCGAAGTAT